AATGTGTATATTATTCCCTCCTTAAGCCAAATCTGATGAGAATAAGATTCACTCATTCCCTCTCACCTTCCCCATTTCCCCTCCACTTAAGAGCCTTTTTTTCTGTTTTTGTGAGATAATTTACCCCATTCTACCTCCCTTTCTTCTTCTCTAGTATAATCCTCTCTCATCCCTTAATTTTATTCTCCAGATATGACCCCTTAACTTCAACTCACCTGTCCATCTATCTATCTATCTATCATCTACTATCTATCTATCTATCTATCTATCTATATCTATCATCTATCTATCTATCTATCTATCCTATACATACATACATAATATAATTTTTATAATATCATCTTTCCATGCCAGAATGTAAACAGTTCAATCTTAATAAGTCTCTTATGATTTCTCTTTCCTGTTTACCTCTTCATGTTCCACTTGAGTCTTGTATTTGAAAGTCAAATTTTCTATTCAGCTCTGGTCTTTTCATCAAGAATGCTTGAAAGTCCTCTATTTCACTGAATGACCATTTTTCCCTGAAGGATTATACTCAGTTTTGCTGGGTAGGTGATTCTTCATTGTAATCTTATCTCCTTTGCCCTCCAGAATATTATATTCCATGTCCTGTGGTCCTTTAATGGAGAAGCTGCTAAATCTTGTGTTATCCTGATTGTGTTTCCACAATACTTGAATTGTTTCTTTCTGGCAGCTTGTAATATTTTCTCCTTGACCTGGGAACTCTGGAATTTGGCTACAATATTCCTAGGAGTTTTCCTTTGGGGATCTCTTTCAGGAGGAGATGGTGGATTCTTTCAATTTCTATTTTGCCCTCTGGTTCTAAAATATCAGGGCAGTTTTCCTTGATAATTTCTTGAAAGATGATGTCTAGGCTCTTTTTTTGATCATGGCTTTCAGATAGTCCAATAATTTTTAAATTCTCTCTCCTGGATCTATTTTCCAGGTCAGTTGTTTTTCCAATGAGATATTTCACATTATCTTCTATTTTTCATTCTTTTGGATTTGTTTTATAGTGTCTTGATTTCTCATAAAGTCACTAGCTTCCAATTGCTCTACTCTAATTTTTAAGGAAGTATTTTCTTCAGTAATCTTTTGGACTTCCTTTTCCATTTGGCCAATTTGCTTTTTAGGGCATTCTTCTCCTCATTGGCTTTTTGGACCTCTTTTGCCATTTGGGTTAGGCTATTTTTTAAGGTGTTATTTTCTTCAGTATTTTTTTGGGTCTCCTTTAGCAAGCTGTTGACTTGTTTTTCATGATTTTCTTGCATCACTCTCATTTCTCTTCCCAGTTTTTCCTCTACTTCTCTTACTTGCTTCTCAAAATCCCTTTTGAGCTCTTCCAAGGCCTGGGACTGATTCATATTTTTCTTGGAGGCTTTGGATGTAGGAGCTTTGACTTTGTTGTCTTCTTCTGGTTATATGTTTTGATCTTCTTTGTCACCAAAGTAAGATAATATAGTCTGACTCTTTTTGCACTGCTTGCTCATGATCCTGGCCAATTACTTGAGTTTTAAACTCTTTGTTAAGGTAAGAGTTCTGCTCCCAATGTGGAGAATGTACTGTTGCAAGCTTCAGGGGTTTGTACGGCTGTTTTCAGAGATACTTGTAGGGACCTGTAAATTTTAGTTCTTCCAGGGTGGTATGATAAGAGGCGAGGTGTTTACTCCTTTCTTGGCCTTTGCTTTGGTCTATTAGTGACCAGAAGCACTCCTTTCTGTTCTGGAACTGTGAGGAGGGTTTCTTCTGCACAGCCACTAGAAGCTCTGCCATGCCAGTGCTCCTCTTCACCCCAGGACCACTGCCCAAAACTGTGACCCAGATCCAAGCATGGGCAAAGCGAGAGATTCTTGCCTCAGCACTGGCAAAGAGATCCCTGAAATCCCTCTCTGATCAGCCACTGGATTACACCTCAGTCTGTGGGCTGGAAGCTCAGGAGGCAGCCGCTATACCCTCTTAGGAACTGCAGCTGAGACCTGGCTCCCCCTTCTCAGCAACTCAGAAACAGACTTTTCCCACGGACCTTCTCAGTTGTCTTTGGTGTTCATGGGTTGAGAAGTCTGGAAACCACCACAGCTGCCCTTGATTCAGTCCTCTGAGGCCTGCTCCAGGTTTGCTGTGGCCTGTGTGCCCATGCCGTGCTGTGTTCCTCTTTCTATCTGGCGTGATATTTTTGATCAACCATCCATGTTGTCTTGGGCTAGAAATTTGCTTCGCTTTGCTTTTTGTAGATTCTGCTGCTTTAGAATTTGTTTAGAGCCATTTTTTATAGATATTTGGAGGGGTTTGGGGGAGACCTCAAGCAAGTCACTGCTTTAACTCTGCCATCTTGGCTCCGCCTCTTGTTTTTACTTTCTAATAGTTCTCTGACAAATATGGTTAGAAGGTGGTTAAGTAGAGCTTTAGATTCAGGGTCTTAAAATCTTGGAGATCCAGGCCTACCTCACAGACATTAACTGACTGTATGATTTACCTGGAATCTGGGCTGGTGACTTGACTTCTGAACCCTGCTTTTCTTGTTTATAAATGGTAAAACATCAGCAAACTCACCTGGCTTTTGTGAAGATCAAATAAAATGATATCTTTTTCCAATGCCTTGCAAACACTAATATGTCATATAAATATCAGTTGTTGATTATCAACATTATTGTTGTTTTTATTTTAGTCTTCTCATATTTTTATGAGATTCGAAAGTAGTCTTGTGACAATTCACTTCTTTTATATTTAATATTCTATAGACTACTACAGATGGAACAAAATAATTGCTTTTTGTAGTGAATAAAAACATTAAAATGTAAACTCTTTCTCTAAAAGGTAAATGAAAATATCTTCTTATCACTCCAATAGCAGGAAGATGTTATGTGTTCATCCCATTCCCATTTGGTTCTGATTCTCATTGTTATTGGCTAACAACACAAGTTAGTATATGTTTTCCTTTGTGTATAAGTCTGTTCTTTCCAATTGGATTTTAAGCTCCGTCAGGCACAGGGTCCGTATCTTAAATTTTTTTATATCTCTCCCTTACGCCACACTAAGTGATTTATTCACATAGTTACAATGCGAACTCAATACATTGGCCAAAGAGGAATAAGGTCAAAATTATGTGATACTGACAGTAAATCCAGACCACCCTGAATCAGTAGGTGAGAAAACTATAAGATCAGATAAAGGCTTCATAAGCTATTTCCTTGTGTTATCATTATAATACTATTTGTGTTCATTGTTAATCCATGTAAGAAACAAGATATCTCTTATTGGTGATTGGAAACAGTACTTTCCTTCCCATTAAATTGGCTGAATGTTCTGTACTAGTAAAGTGTGGGGTAGGTGGTTCTTGAGATCTCTTGTTCTGTTAAATAAGAGAGCTGTTTCTCCTTCTCTTTATCCTTCTGCTGCTGGTGATTTTACTCTCTGAGCCACTTAGGCTTGTAAAACAGGACTCATCATTTATTCTTCCCTCAACTCCACCCTATATATCTATTCAGTTTCTATGTTCAGCTTCTGAAATCCCTCTTTTCCAAGTCCTTCTCTCTACTTCTGTTATAACCAGTTACTCCTATTATAAACCAGTCTTCTCATTTGTACTCTTGCAACTATCTCCTAACTGGTCTTCCTACCTCTAATCTAACTGTTCCAGTCCATTTTTGACTCTGCTGCCTGATGGTCTTGCCCAATGTACTGCACCATCTTCATTTCCTTCCAGTTAAACTCCTGATTCAGACATTCAACAGTCTTGGAATCCTCAACTTCCTTCAGGGTCCTCTCAGGTGTCAGCAATTGGAGTAAAACCTTCCTGATCCTCCTAGCCATCTTTCTCCTCAAATTATAATGTCTTTACTCATATGTTTAAGGTTGGTTCTTGAACACATGGACAGTTTCCATTTTGTCTTGTATTCTCAGTGCCTTTATGTCTTCCAAAATGATTCATTCTCTCTCTCTCTCCTTTTATCATCTATCTCTTCTATCCACATATATGTGTGTTTATATACACACACATAGGTAGGTAGGTAGAAAGATCAGTAGATTGATAGTCAAGGATTGTGATTCATTAGTGTTAAGAATGCTCAGTGAGGAAATTTCTTATATGGAAACATTCTACCATTGTAGATCAGTATGTACTTGGGCAACTTTATAGCCTTAGGGAATTGTCTGAGGACACTGAAAAGGTAAATAGCTTGCCCGGAGCTATACAGCCAATATATTTCAGAGTTATACATTTGAATACAGATCTTTCTGGTCATTTTCAATGCATTTCACCATGCTGCCTCTTATGTTCTATAAATGATAGGCACTGTTGAATCAAATTGATGTGCATTTTTGGCTAAATATATACCCTGAAGTTAAATGAATATTTCCTTTTCTCTTTCATCTGTACATATTTGAGAGGAAAGAAAAATCCCCTGTAGGCACCTGGATTCTTAATGCATAAGTGATGTCACTTGGGCACACATTGGGACGTTTTCACTAGAAATCATGGAATATTCAATTAAAAAGAGTTCTCATCTGGCTTCTGAGTGGTCTGCACATACTAATGGAGAAAATGTGTTAGCTTGAAAATATTTCTGCAATATTCTTTTAAAATTTCATAAGCAAAGGATTAGGATAGCCTGTGCCCAAATACCAAATGTGAACTTGATTGAGTGAATCAGGACAGGGTGGAGGCAGACTATGGCTGTAATTGCAAGATGGTAAACCTTAGGGAAAGGAAATAGCCAATGTAGTGGGTGTGAGCATCAGCACATTAGAAACAGATTGGCCTTAAGTAACATTTCATAAAAAAAAAAGGGCTTCAGATTAGTGTGTTTAGGCAAATTGCCATCAGATTGATTAATCATTAAAGGACCACAGACAAATGTCAACTACAGAAAACAGACTAAGATGAAAGTTCTGCTTCTCATCTCCCAAACAGGGCATGTTTCCCTGACAAAGAGTAATCATGTGACCAAGGAAGAACTGGCTGCATCTATTTAAATGTACTAGTAGTAGTGGTAGAAGTAATAATTGACATTTACATGGGACTTTAAGGTTTCCAAGGTCCTTTACATATGTATTCTTATGGGAGCCTCACAAGAGCCCTGGAAAGTATGTACTACAGGTATGGTTATTTTTATTTTACAGCTGAGAAAACTGAGGCTCAGAGAATTAAATGCTTAAGTAGCTTGCTTATGCAAGCAAGTGTTAGAGATAGGACTTGAAAATGTCTTCCTGACTCCAAGTCCAGTATTCTATCCAGTTCTGTGAGGAGCAAGCTGTTTTTTTTTCTTTTCTCCTCTCTTCTCCTCTTCTCTCTTCTTCTGTTTTAGGGGAATGGGATTGTCTGGAAGAAATATTCACCTTGATTCTCCTAATTTTGTCATGAGTTGGAATGGGTTTGTTTTGTTTTTAGCACTAATTGGTTCTGACTATCAGGAAGATAGTCAAAATGATCTGTCCACAATCAATTGGGTATGGGTTGTCTTCATCCCAACTCTAAGAAACTTCTGGAACAGGAAAAATGGGAGGAGGGGCAATTTTAGATGATAATCTTCAAGGGGTTCTTGAAACTCTTGCCTTCCCTTGCTTGTTTACACAGATGAGAGAAATGTCTCAGAACTGGAAGAAAACAGCCTCACCTTGAAGGATTCCTAAGCTTGTTGGCTGACCCTATTTTTGTTTGAGATTCTGCAGCCAAGTGTGGATCTCAAGTCTTACTTTCCCCTTTCCTACTGATCAGTGATTTCCATAAAAGGATGCAGAAAGCCAGGGGACTTTGTTTAAGACTTTCATGTTTTATCCCTGTCTTGGTTGTGTCTTCTATTGCTTTTCTTGTCTAGCCTACTCTTCTTGACTTTCCTCACTTTTGATTAGAGCCCCTGCCTGTAGATTCTGACCTGAGTTTAGATAGTTCACCCTGATGCCTGTCAAACTGGTACCACTTTTTTTTGGCCACCACCCATTGGGAAAAAATGATTCAGACTTTGTGAGGCAACAACTGACCTATTAATCTCTTCACTAGGAGAGATTGCTCAGCTTGTGGTTTGAACTGTGCATAGGGGGGACTAGCACCTCTGGGTTTTTTTTCAGGGCTGCTCATCTACCTTTGGTGGTCACCTGATTTACCCACTTCTCACCTGTGGCTCTAAGAAGCTATAGCATGTGCAGCAGCAGCACTCCGGTAAACCATCTTGGTAGATTGGCTAAACGGGGCTGAGGGTAACCTACAGGCCTCCAGCTTGTAGGTGGTGGGGCAGAGAATGGGTGGATGAGAACAATTTGTTCCAATGGCCATGAAGGCAACTGAAGCAGGCACTGTGGAGTGCTTAGACCTTGGTCAGACATCGAAGATGGCCAAGGCCATCCACTGCATCCCAGGCAATCATCAGTTGTCCTGACTTTTGTCTTGCCACTGGACTTTGATGACTCTGGAAGAAAGAGTGAGACTGATGACTATGTGCAGCTCTGCCTCACTTAAATCCAACTCACTTACAGGTCAAGACATCATCATGGTGTTGGTCTTCTTCAAAAATGAAGGACAAACAACAATTTAAATTGTAAGTCATTTTTACTGACTCACTAGTTAACTCTCTGTCTCCTAATCCTAACCTTGACTATATACTTGAACCTTGTTACTCTTCTTAAGTTCGCTTAACCTCCTGGTTAAGTTCTTCTCTTAATCCCTTTGTCTTGTCTTAACCTAAGGTGCACCATGACCAAGTTTTTGTTAATGCTATTATTTTTTTTTTTAATTTGCCAAAGTGAGATAGGTGTTCTTTTTGCTAGACAAGATTTTATGTCAAATGTGTGTTATTATTTATTGTGTTTGGCATGAAGTTGGTGCTATATTTCTGGGGACATTTTAACTCATTGAACATCCTAAGGTTTTAGTCATTCCAGGAGAAGCCTAAGACAGATTGATGTGAATAATACACCATGTGTTTATTTTAGAAGGCTCATAGCTTTTAACAATAACAAGTTCTGAGCCCAGTTGGAGGCACCATTTGGAAGGAGTATTTCTAGCCAGTATTTTTGCTGCTGCCTGTTCCCAACCCCCACCCCTACTGTCAAGAAATAAGCAAATTCTGGTTGGGAGGACACATTTGAATGTCTACTCTGCTCTATTTCATAAAGTCCACCAGCATCTTGTATCTTCTGTTGACAAGACCCATCCCCAATTGCTCCAAAGACATATCGATTTCCCTACAAACAATACATCCAGCCGCAGGAGAACCATAAAACTCCAAGTTGTTGCTTCAGCGAGCATTACCATGTAATGTCAGTAGCTTTGGTTTTTATTTAATTTTGTGATTAAAGTTTTTATTGATTTCCCTGCAGGGTAAAATATATCAATATCTTTGGTTTCAAAGGAGCATTCAGTAACAAGAAAACATAAAAGGACTCAACCACAAAAAAGCAGGTGCTTTATTTTAAAATTTATGAAACTGCCACCATGAATCCTCCAGAGTGAGTCTATGAGAAGGCCTTTCAATAATGCCACTGAGCCCTTGTGAGCAATACTTATCTCTCAGGTTGCAGTTGTTACAAAAGTCTGTGGTTTCAGGTAGGAAACACTTAGTAGCTTAGTAACCCATCAAGTAGATCTCATTCAGCATTTCTATTCATCACATTGCTTTCTGTCATAGTGAGGAAACTTACAATGCTCTGCCTAAGAGAAACCCTATAGCCAAGTACTACAGGTACAGAAATGTATGAATGTTGAATCATTTGAGTTCCAAGTTGATGATAGATCTTAAAATCTGTCCTTGGATGGACACAGTCATGATTTCAAGCATACTTTGAGAACATCTAAGTATCTGGAATAGATATTAACAATAAAGAAAGGACTGTTTTAAGGAAAATGTAGTAGAGTATGATGCAGGATGGGAATAGGGCTCCAGAAGAGTATACCTTATTTAAAAGGAGAAGAATATGTGAGAACTTGATAGGAAGGGGAGGAGCAGCAGCAAGGCAGGTTTCAAAGATACACATGTGAACAAACCCCAGAATCAGAGGGAGGAAGCACAGTGGTAAGCATTTCAGAATCAATGAAGGCTGAAACAATCAATTAATCGATAAACCTTTATTAAGCACCTACTCTGTGCTGGGCATTGTGCTAAGCACTGGGGATACAAAAGTAGGCAACAGATAGTCCTTCCCCTCAGGGAGCTTACAATCCAATGGACATATTTGGATGTCTACTTCTGCTCTCTTTCATAAAGTTCATTAGGATCTTGTCTCCCCTGTTGACAAGATCCACCCCCCCAAAATAAAAAAAACATTAAATGTCCTCAGAGTATATCTGCAGACTACCTGAACAAAATGATGTGTTTGGGAACAAGCCTAACACAGAGGTATAATATAGTAGCAATGGGAGGCTTACATTTACAGACATGTACTGGAATATATTCTCTCTCTCTCTCTCTCTCTCACTCTCTCTCTCTCTCTCTCTCTCTCTCTCTGTCTGTCTGTCTGTCTGTCTCCCTCCCTCCCTCCATCCTTCCCTCCCTCTCCCTCTTTCTCTGGCTCTTCCTGTCTCTTTCTGTCTCTCCCTCTCCCTCTTTCCCTCCTCTAAGCAGAAAAGTTAATGATTTCTTAGATAGATTTAGTAATAATTTCCTTATTCAAAAATGGGAAGAACCAATAAAAAGAACTAGTATTTAGGATCTGATTTTCACAGCCAGAAGGACCTGTTTGCCTAAGTTAGAAATGATGGGAATCTTTGGAGGAAGTGATCTTTCCGTCTTAGAATTTATGTTAAAGGAAAGATAAGTCAGGCATTATCTGATGTGTACCCTAGATTTTGTCTGAAAAGATTTCAAAGGGTTGATAAAGGAGAGGTAGGCTTCCAAGCCTTAATATTCTCATCCTCAAGTTTCTGAGGAAGATATGGTACCTTGTGTATAAAAGGCTCTCTCTTCAAAAATACATTTTATTGAGATCTTTTGCATCTTCTACATTTCCTACATTTTCCTTCTTCTTCCTCCAAGATAACAATCCCTTATAATGAAAAGCAGAACAATGTCTGATGAGGAGATGGTACCTAAGATTAATAAGGTGATAATAAAAGAAGGAAGAGGGGGAACAGTTTGGCAAAATTATCCAACATATTGAAGAAGTCTGGCATTAAATGCAGTGATCCAGCCTATACCTTTGAAACCTAGTCAAGAAACAGAAGGGAATGTCTTCTCATATCTTTTCTTTGGGACCAAGCTTGGTCATCTTAATTTCATGGCATTCAATATGTACTTCTTTGTTGTTATTGTTCTTTCTACTTGTATTGTTGTAGCCATTATATACACTGTTTTCCTTGTTCTTCTTACTGTCCTTTGCATCAGTTCATGTAAATTTTCCCATATTTCTTGGTATTCATCATATTCCACTTCCTCTAGTACAGTAATTTCCCATTATATTCACATACCACAATTCATGAATCCATTCCCCAATCAATGGACATCACCTTTGTTTCCGGTTCTTTGCTGTTGTAACAGGTGCTGCTAAATTTTTGTCCTTGTCTTCCTTTGGGTATATGCTTAGCCGTGGAATCTTCAAGTCAAAGGATGTAGCATTTTAGTCACTTTCCTAGCATTAATTCCAAGTTGTTTTCCAGAACAGGCATAAAAGAAAGTCCTAAATAAGTGTTTGAATGAACTCAATTAAGTAGAATTAAATACAGGAGGGATAGGAAGTACTCAAGAATGAAATCCTGATGATAGAGAGAAACAATTACAGTAAAAAATTAGGGCAATGATATGAGGAGACTGATGTCACATCAACCAACATAGCTTTTTTTAAAGACACAAACAGAAGACTGAAGCAAGGATATGCAAAAGATAGTGAATATAAAACCATGGCACAGTTCTGTACAGAAAGGTATCAGGAACACTAAAATATAACAAGATCTAGAAAGGTGACAAAGATCTGGAAAGGTTTTCTAAAGTCATCAAAATCATGGAAAGGGTTGAAAGAATAGGAATGTGCTTCCATTTGGATGGGAAGACAAGGAAGTGAGGTTAGAACTTCTAATCTCTTATTTCACATCTATTTCCTTTACAAAGAAGATCAAACAGATTTGGAAAGGGCAGAACAACTATGTCTAATGGGGAGATGATACCTAAGATTAATCAGGTAATAATAAGAGAACTTCTAACTGCCCTTGATGAATTCAAGTTACAAAGCCAAACTGGCAAAATTGTAGAATGGATTCTTAATGGGATTATTAATGAACATATTCTAAAGGAAGCAATAATCACAAAGAGCCAGCATGATTTCATCACGTTTGTATGCAGCCATTGTCTCATTTTCATCTTTGTGATATTTCCAGAGCTCGGTACAGTGACTGGCACTTGTTAGGAGTAATTGGCTGATTGATCATGAATTAGCCAGACTAACTTTATTTCTTTTTTGAGTATAGCTAGCCTGGTATATCAGGGGAATGCTATAGCTATATAGCTGACCCAAATTTTAGCAGAGTATCTAACAAAATCTCTTATGCTATAATTAGGGATAAGGTAGAGAGACATGGGCTAGACAGTAATGTAGTGGATCCAAAGAGTAGTCATTGATGACTCAATGTTAACTTGGAAGGATGGCTCTTGCTTAGTAGATCTCAGAGATCTACTTGTCCCTGACCTATTTAAGATTTGGATCAAGGACTTGGGTAAAGGCATAGCTAGCATTTTATCAAATGTGCAGATGTCACAAAGCAGGGAGGTAGAGTTGTTACACTGGAGGACAGATTCAGGATTAAAAAAAGATTTTTTTACAGGCAAGAACATTGGGCCAAATTGAATAAGATAAAATTTAACTGGGATAAATGTGAAATCTTATCCTCAGGTAAAAAACAAAATCCGACTTCCCAAGTACAAAATGGGGAAGACAAGGCACAGCTAGACAGAAAAGACCTGGGAGGAGGGGGTAGTTGATCAAAAGCTCAGTATAAGTCAACAGTATTTCAGAGAGTCTAAGAAAGTTAATATAATTTTAGGCTGCATTGATAGAAATAATGCTTAGGAATATGAAGATAATCTCTGCCTTGAATCAACTCACATCAGGAGTTTTATGTTGTCCTGAGCATGGCCTATGTGGTAGGCAGCTAGGTAGTACAATGGATAGAGCAGTGGGATGTGAAGCCAGAAAGACCTGAGTTCAAATGTGACCTAAAATTCTGAGCATGTCATTCTCTTCATATGCAAAATGGGCATAATAATAGCATTTACCTTACAGGGTTCTTGTGAGGGTCAAATGGGATGGCATTTAAAAAGTGTTTCACAAGCTTTAAAATGCTATATAAATAATAGCAGTCTTACTATTACTAATTACTAATAGTACCAGTACTAGTACTATTAGTATAATGATGATATCGGTGATGATGGTGACAATGGTGGTGGTGATGATGATGATGATGATGATGATGATGATGATGACACCAGGGATAGAAGAAGGATGGAGAGTATCCAGACAAGGACAACTAGAATAGTGAAGCGACACAAGTTCATGCAATATGAGATTGGCTAATGAAATTAGGAATGTTTAAATTGAAGAAGAGAAGACTTGTATTCAAGTAGAGGCTGGGGCATGATGACCATGGTCAAGTGTTTGAAGAAATATTAAGAAGACAAAGGATTAGTCTTGTGTTTTGTTTGTTTTGGTTTTTTTTTACCACAGAGGACAGATCTAGAGTAATTGTTGGAAATCAGAAAGAGATGGTTTGGACTCATTATCTTAAAATATTGGTTCTACCTCCCTGGAGATTTTTAAGCAAAGGCTGGATCACTACTTGTCAGGTTTGTTGTAGAAGGAAGTCTTCCTAAGTATAGTTTGAACTGGATTGCTGCAGAGGTTTCTTCTAACGGTGACATTTTGTGATTCAGTCAATCAATTAGTTGCTTGGCCTCATTATGCCAAGCAATCAGTTTAATTTTTTTATCCCTCAGACTGGCTATTTCGAGGTTTTGGAGCTACCTTTGAGAGGTCTGGTCACTTTTGACAATGCAATCCAGCCTTGAGAACACGGTGAAAGGAGGTCAGAGGCTAGTCTAGCAAAAAGATGGTCCTCCCTTATTTCTGGATCAAAGAAGTAGAGGGGAATGTGAGAGGGAGTCACTGGGACTGATTTTACCAATTTGCAAAGCAGTAACTTGCTTGTGATCTGAAAGATTTAGCAGTTTTGACTTCCTTTGTCCTAGTTTCCCCATCCCTTTTCCTTAAAAACACATTACCCTTTGTTTGAAATTCTAACTTATCTCTAAGAGTCTAAAGTAGAAAGATTTTTAGCACACAATGCTGAAAATGTAATTGAACGTATTGAAATCAGGGTCAGAGCCAAGAAATGGAGTTAGATGGCTATTCATCAATAAAAACAATATTACAAAAGGGACCACAGTTCTCTGGCTCTCACAACAGACCCCCCTTCCTTTT